CTTTTTCGTATTTGTATTTGACAACTTATTATTTATATGTTATTAAATTAGATTACGTTAATTTGTAAAAGTTAAGATTGAACTTGGTATTTATATCTACTTTTTGTTATTAATATTAGTATCTACTTTCAGGTGTATTTATGTAGTATTATTTTAAATGTTAAAAAATTTAATTATAGTACGGAACCGAACAGAACCGAACCGAACCGAACTGAACCGAACCCGAACGATTCCAAAATTATATTTGGAACCGACGGTTTCATTTACTAAATACCCGAAAATTTCTGGAACCGAAAAAAACCGAACCGAAACGAATCGAACCGACCCACGCCCACCCCTAAGACCAATTAGACCCATTTATCATCATAGCCCTATGAGCTAGATTTGGCATCATAGCCCAAGACCACGTAATAAAGAAATACATAATACTAACATTAAAATCAAATTGATAATTAAATATTAAAAGTATCAAAATAAATCCATCTTCTAGATCAATTTCTTATCTAAAGTACTTCAAGAAGTTATTCATGAATTAGTAAGTAATTTGAAATCAAAAGTATTTTGATTGTACTAGTTATAACGTAAATGCATTGCACATTATTATGATATTTTTGTTAAAGTCTTGTAATAGCGTTACTTTGAGATTTTGGTCAATACTAATTGAAGGTTATATTAATTATAGAAAACTGTGACGTATTGCAGTTGCACAATGACAAACTACAAATTTTATAGTACACACGTCTGGTCGCGCATTTTGTAATATCATTAATTTTTTCCTTCATATATCAAAACAAAACATTACCTACAAACAAACATTAATAAAATTAACAGACAAAATAATGCCTACTGTTGAAATAATTTCTTCAGTTTCAGTATTACTTCCTCAATTAGCCTCCTCTGAACATTAGTTGAGAAAAAGGCAAATTCAGAGGAAAGAAAAAAAAGTGTTTATAGTGATGAATGATATAGTTTTATAGAAACAGAGAGTACAAACAACCAAACTAAGAATCAACAAACTCGACATAATATATTTAGATAAATGAATTCAAATCTCAAACACTTCAACTATTTCCTTTTTCTGAACTCAAGAAATCAGAAAAGCAAGAATAAAAATCTATTTGAGCTGACTCAATTCTGCATCCCTACAAGCAAAGATTCACACGATCCGATCATTTAATAAAGTTAAAAATTAAATAAGTTTAACTTGCAACAAATATAATCAGATTGTGACAGATCTGGCTACATTTTGGTACTTGGAAATTTGCACCAACATTCATGCAGGAGTTAATTCACTTGGATCCCATTCTTCAATTTTTTGGTGATCACTTTTCAAAACTCACACAACGGGTATTTTAGTTAAGGATTTTAGAATATATTGTATATTGTTGGAGAATTACTACTTCTGGCAAGAATAAATTCCGCAATCCAAACAACTGACTAGAGTGATTAAATATGCAAGTAAAAGATTAAAATAAAATAAGAGAACACACCACTTAATTTTTATGTGGAAAAAATGAGCTACCATTTTGCGGAGGCGTGTTAAGGGATATATATCCCACATCGATAAATGATGTTGACACAGACTAATTAATAAAAATCTTGAGCTACTATTTTTAATAAGGTTGACCTTT